AACTGGTACTTTTTGAGCACTGTTTGGGAAGCCAGGAGGCAAAGGAAAACTGAAAGGCTGGATCCAGGTTTAGAAGACATTGATTGCACGCCAAGAGTTTGATTGACCTTATTCGACAAATAGTGATGAGCCCTGAAGGTTTTATAAAGAAAGAAAAATCAAAGTGCTAAGGCTGATCTGTTAATTAGTGGGCAAATATAATGGAAACCACAGCAGGCAAAGTGGCCGCTGATTTTCAAACTTTAATTTTCTACCATCTTTTTAAAAATGTTTGTTTGTTTGTTTAGAGAGAAAGAGAGAGAGCGCAGGGGAGGGGCAGAGAGAGAGAGAGAGAGAGAGAGAGAGAGAGAGAGAGAATCCCAAGCAGGCTCAGTGCTGTCATCTTGGAGCCTGACACAGGGCTCAATCTCATGAACCATGAGATGAAATCGAGAGTTGGATGCTCAACTAACTGAACCACCCAGGTACCCCAGTCTGCTACTATCTTGATGACTGTTAGCATGTCTGCATTCTGCCTACAATATTAACTTTTTCTTTAGGACTACAACTTTTTAAAACCTAAATACTTCAGCTTCACTCCAATAAATAATCAGTGACATTATGGGTTTGATGTCATATTTTCCCATAAACTATACATTAAAATAAACACATAAGTATTAATATTTTAAAAGTTGGTCTGTGTTCCACCAAACATCACATTAGGCATCACCAATTGCAAACACTGCATACCTTGGGAAATTCTAGATTTGAGCAATGTTTTACCACCATTTTTAGCCATGACCCACCATCTAAGATTTCATCAGGTTTTACTTGCTATAATTTATATTCTGATAAAATAGGCACTTTCCCTAAAAATAAAGTTAGAATATTCTCTATGATTCTTAAAACTTCCTTCTAGAAATTCTGGTACCTCTTCAATAAGTGGGTGTGGCCCTTTATCACTGGTTGAAGGAATCAGAGTACTGTACAGAATGAATTCAGGTGCACAGTAGCAGTGAGAAGGGAAGTGAAGGGAAGGATAAGAAGAATTACTGAAAGAAATAATTATTGCAACATGAGAACTGCTTGGATGTAAAAATTAAAGAAGGGAGACAGTCAAGACTGACTCTGACATTTTCATCCAGGAACTCGAGATAGGCATTGGCATACTATGGCATGGTTCACATACTATCCACTGCTTTTGTAAGTAAAGCTTTTTTGGAACACAGCATTGTTAATTCATTTACATATGGTCTTTGTAGTATAAAAGCAGAGATAAGTAGTTGTAACAGAAACCTTATTGCTCTCAAAGCCTAAATAAAGTATTTACTATCTGGTCCTTTACAGAGAAAATTTATTGACACCTAAAAGTAGTGATGCCATGGACAGAAGTAATGAGATAAAGGGGAATGGTCATTTTGATAAGACAATCAGTTTGGTCTCAGACAGATTGAATTTGAGACTGTGGGAGAAAATTTATATAAGAATGTCCAACTTATGGCAAGGATGCGGAGAAAGGGGAACCCTCTTGCACTATTGGTGGGAATGAAAACTGGTACAGCCACTCTCAAGAACAGGATGGAGGTTCCTCAAAAAACTAAAAATAGAACTACCCTATGATCCAGCAATTGTATTATTAGGTATTTACCCAAAGGATACAAAATACAGATTTAAAAGGGTATATACACCACAATGTTTGTATCAGCATTATCAACAATAATCAAACTATGGAGAGAGCCCAAATTCCATTGACTGATGGATAAAGAAGATGTGATATATATATATATATATATATATATATATATATACACACACACACATATACACACAATGGAATATTACTCAGCCATCAACAAGAATGAAATCTTGCCATCTCCAGCAATGTGGATGGAGCTAGAATGTATTATGCTAAGAGAAATAAGTCAATTAGAGAAAGACAAATAACATATGATTTCATTCATATGTGGAATTTAAGAAACAAAACATAAACATATGATGGTGGGTGGGAGATGGGTTAGATGGGTGATGGGTACTAAGCGGGGCATTGGTTATGATGAGCACTGGGTGTTGTATGTAAGTGATGAATCACTGAATTCTCCTCCTGAAACCAATACTGCACTGTATGTTAACTAAATTCAAATAAAAATTTAAACAAAGAATGTCCACCTTAGAATAGAAATATATTGGACCACCTAGGTGACTCAGTCAGTAGAGCGTTGTGACTTTTGATCTCAGGGTCTTGGGTTCAAGCTCCATATTGGGAGCTTACTTTAAAAAAATTAAAAAAATAAAAAGTAAATAAAAAAGAAGTTAGAAATATATCACTAGTTCTTGAGTGACATCTTTTTAAAGATGATATTTTTTTCCTTTTTAAAAAAGTTGGTAACTTATTCCATGCCTACATCCAAATAGGATTTGAGATGGCTAGAGATAAGTGTTGAAGGAGTTAAGACTGGACATAGCTACCAGGGTAAAGTGTGGCCACTACTTGATAATCCAAACTAGAGCTTTACTTTCTCACCAAGAGAAAAAAAAAAAAAAAAAAGTAGGAACTTTTCTTTCCTTCATGAAGCAATATAGAATGAAAATATGAGGGAAGAAACTAGCTGAAGGCCAGTCTGTGAGAAAGCTATGTGAGAACGCTACAGAGGCCCGTCAATCCCAGCAAAAGTCACTCCTGGGCAGACCTTCAAAATGTGAAAGGCTAATCCTTCAGTTCAACATCTACGCATTGCCTAAAAGAGACTGTACAGAGACAGCTGTACAGAAACTCCGTGCTATCCCTGATTGCAAGATGGTAGCTGACTTTTTTTCTGATAACCTCTTGACTTAAGCTTTCTCATCTGTTCACCCCATTGGCTGATGATCCAATCACTTCAATAAGTGTTATAGTTTACAAAAAGAGCAGGAGATTGGGATCGGGAATCTGAGACTCAAGAGTCTGTGCTGGCCCAACTACTCATGTGATATGGGCACTACCAATAATTGATATTCACATAACACTTTATGTGATAGTCACATAACACTTTGATGTAAGGTATGGACGCAGATATGACTAACCCTATTTTATAAATGAGGACAGTGAAGCTGAAAGAAGCTAAATTACTCGCCCAATGTCACACAGGCAGAATCAGGACCCTGGTCTTCTGATAACTTGGTCTGACTTTCATTGACCAGTCAGTCTTTAGCAGTGGGAAGCAAATGCTCTTGCTTTGGAAACCTAAGACTGCATTTTAAAAAGTAAAAGGAGCGTCTGGGTGGCTCAGTTAAGTGTCTAACTTCGGCTCAGGTCATGATTTCACGGTTCATGAGTTCTAGCCCTGTATCAGGCTCTGTGCTGACAGCTCAGAGCCTGGGGCCTGTTTTGGATTCTGTGTCTCCCTCTCTCTCTGCCCCTCCCCTGCTTGCATTGTCTCTCAAAAATGAATAAACATTAAACAAAATTAAAAAGTAATATGTTTTTATAACCAGGAAATGTAATATCTTCAACAGATTTAACCACATTTTCTTATCTTCTATTTAGAAGAGGCAAAGATGAAATTTTAGAAACTATGTAAGTAATATGCTCTGTAATATTTGCTATTCCAGGCCTCGAACCTAATGTTAAACTTTGACATTGGGTTGATTTTTCTTTTTTTCTTTTTTGGCTTGACGGTAAAACATGGTTTGTCTAATGCTGCCTCTTAATATTAAATCCTTAAAACAGAGATTATCCGGGCACTCCCAGGATGGAGCTAACTTGCACATACTTTTCTTCTTTTTGGCCAGATAGCTAAAAAACAATTAAGCCAGTATTTTAAAATTACAAGTTTCACATAGATGTAAAGATCTAGTTTTCTGGATTTCTGGCTTCCTATGAAAACTCAGAACACCTATCACCACTGGGCTGACGTCATCACAGGCAACAATCAGCAAGGAATGAACAGCAGAAGTCCTGGAGGTAAGGTGCCAGGTGCCATCACTCCCTATTGCTCCTGGACATGGAGGCAGCAAAGCAGTTTCCATTCGTCATCAGTCATCACTCCTATGTTGCTTCTTATTGTAAAAGAATAAGTCTCTGTAACCATACCTTTCTTTTTTTGTTGTTTTCAATGTTTATTTTTATTTCTGAGAGAGAGAGAGAGAGAGAGAGAGAGAGAGAGAGAGAGAGGCAGAGAGAGAGAGGGAGACAGAATCTGAAACAGGCTCCAGGCTCTGAGATGTCAGCACAGAGCCTGATGTGGGGCCCAAACTCATGAACTCTGAGATCATGACCTGAGCCAAAGCTGGACACTTACCTGACTGAGCCACCCAGGCTCTCCACCATACCTTTCTTTCAAAGTGAAAGGCTGACATTAAGCGGTGTGGTTTTCCTGGCCCATGTCACTTGCCACTCATTTCCTACATTGAATCTAATCTAAACCATCACTTATACAAGATTATAAGATATACTACTATTTTATAATCACTAAGAAAATCAACAACACTGCTATCAATTGTAACACACATTCCAATTTCAGAGATGTTTAAATACCAAAATGTGCACCTCTGAAGCAATTAGCCAGCCTGGCTTCTGGAAACAATTGAATCCATGACCCCATTTTAAATACGTGTCCATTTCTGTTTCCGATTCTGTGTCTCCCTCTCTCTCTGCCCCTCCCCCATTCATGCTCTGTCTCTCTCTGTCCCAAAAATAAATAAACGTTGAAAAAAAAAATTAAAAAAAAAAAAAAAGGGGGGGCGCCTGGGTGGCGCAGTCGGTTAGGCGTCCGACTTCAGCCAGGTCAGGATCTCGCGATCCTGAGTTCGAGCCCCGCGTCAGGCTCTGGGCTGATGGCTCGGAGCCTGGAGCCTGTTTCCGATTCTGTGTCTCCCTCTCTCTCTGCCCCTCCCCCATTCATGCTATGTCTCTCTCTGTCCCAAAAATAAATAAACGTTGAAAAAAAAATTAAAATAAATAAATAAATACGTGTCCATTTCAATGTGCCTTGCATCATGTAGGAACATTTTTAGCACAAAGACAGACTCTTCAGTTCACTTACTTGGAGCTACATGCTTATCATCAGCCACTTTTCTTTTCTTTGTAATAGCCATAGCTGGGGTTTAAATTTTCATTAGATATCAGCCCAGGCCCCACCCACCACCCTCTCCCTTTCAGCCTTGGGTGAAGCTTCCCAGGCCTCTCAATCAGTACCTACAACTGCCGGTCAGACATACCCAATCAATTGATGCTATTCTTTTTGCCAGACATGCCCAGTAGAATGCTGAAGTATACGATCAGCCCCAGATCCAAATAGGAGGAAGAAGAGGTCTGAAGTGGGGTCTCAGTCTTCCACTTCCAAGAGGTGATGTTCAAAAACTTAATAACTGGTATAGCAGGAGGACCAACCAATCTGTATAGATGGAAACTATGCTGGAGCTAGGTTCAGAAGGTCCCCTGCTGTTACAGGTGTTAACCTTTGGGTGCTGACTTGTGGGGAGATGTAGGGAAACTTGAGGGAGGGGCAGGAGCCCCCAGGGCATGGCTCCTGGAAAATAACAACCATTATGACTGTAGGAGAGTCTACTAGTTAAAAAGCAACGTTGCCCCTATGTAAGCTGAGGCATCAAAAAGCTGAGATGGGAAAACATCCTAGAAGGATATAAAATACCCAAACCGTATAAAAAGGAAACAAAAAATCTGAATAGAACTATAACAAGTAAATAAATTATATTAGTAATTTAAAATATTTACACAAAGCAGGGCACTTGGGTGGCTTAGTCGATTGAGTGTCTGAATCTTCATTTCGGCTCAGGTCATGATCCCAGAGTCGTGGGATGCAGCCCCTTATTGGTTTCCATGTTGAGTGTGGAGCCTGCTTGAGATTCTCTCTCTCCCTTTCTCTAAAACAAAACAAAACAAAACAAAACAAAACAAAACAAAACAAAAGCAAACAAACAAAAAACCCAAACACATTTACACAAAGCTAAGCCCAGGCCTAGATGGCTCCAATGGCAAATCCTAATAAACCTTTAAAGAAGTAATACGAATCTTTTGAAAATTCTATCAGAAAATAGAGGAGGAAATCCCTTACAACTCATTCTATGAGGTCAATATTATCCTGATACCAAAGCCAGATGAAGACATAATAAGAAAACAATAAACCAATACCCTTGATGATTGTGAACACAAAAAGTCTTCAACAAAATATGAGAAAAACAAATATAGGGGGCCTGAGTGTGGCTCAGTTGGTTGAGCATCCGATTCTTGGTTTTGCTCAGGTTTGAGCCCTGAGTTGGGCTCCACGCTGACAGTGTGGAGCCTGCTTGGGATTCTTTCTCTCTCCCTCTCTCTCTGTGCCTGCCTGTTTGTGCTGTCATTCTCAAAATAAATAAATAAACTTAAAAAAAAAAAAAAAGAAAACCAAATCCAGCAACATATAAAAAAGATTATACATTATGACCACGGGGGCTTCATTCCCGGAATGTAAATTTGGTTTCACATCTGAAATCATTAATGTAATACACCACATTAATAGAATAGAAGACAAAATCTACATGATCATTTTAATAAATGCAGAAAAAAAACCACACTTGGTAAAATCCAACATCTACTTAGGATAAAACTTCCTTAACCTGATAAAGGTCTAATAAAAACTAAAAATAACCCTAATGCTAACATCACACTTAATGGTGAATGTTTGAATAATTCTCTTGTAAGATTGGAAACAAGGCAAGGATGTTTGCTGTCACCACTTGTATTCAAGACTGTAGTGGATATTCTAACCAGTGCAATAAAGCAAGAAAAAGAAATAAAAGGCATGAAGATTAGAAAGGAAGAAATAAAATTTTATTATCAGGTGACATGATCCTATATGGAGACAATTCTAAGGGAGATACACACACACACCCAAACAAAACAAAAACAATAACAAAATCCTACTAGAACTATTAAACAATTTCAGCAATATCAGAGGATACAAAATAAACAAAAATTACATATCTATCAATCTGAAAATGAAATTAAGGTAACATTTCCACACACAATAGCATCAAAAAGAATGAAGTACTTAGGAATATATTTAACAAAAGAAGTACAAAACTTGTACACTGAAAATTATGCAACATTGCTGAAAGAAGTCAAAGGAGACCTAAATAAATGAGATATATTCCATGTTCATGGATTAGAAGCCTTCATATTATTAAGATAGCAATACCCTCCAAGTTGATCCATAAATTTTATGTAACCCCTATCAAAATTTCAACTGCCTTTTTTTGTGAGAGTATAATTTGACCTTAAATTCACATGGAAATGCAAGAGACCTAGAATAGTTAAAACAATCCAAAATAGAACAAAGTTGGAGGATTCACACTTCCATTTTAAGAACTTACTAAAAAGCTACAGTAATCAAAGCAAGTGGTACTGGCATAAGGACTGACATGTAGATTAATGGAATAGAATTGAGAGTCCAGAAATAAACCCTTACACTTAAGGTCAATTATTATCATCATTATTATTATTACTATTATTTTAAAGTTTATTTATTTATTTTGAGAGAGAGAAAGAGAAAGCACTCATGCAAGTGAGGGAAGGGCAGAGAGAGAGGGAGAGAGAATCCCAAGCAGGCTCCACACTGTAAGCACAAAGCCTAATGTGGGGCTTGATCTCACAAACTGTGATATCATGACCTGAGCCAAAATCAAAAGTTGGATGCTTAGCCAACTGAGGCACCCAGGCACCCTGGTCAATTATTTTTTGACAAGAGTACCAAGGTAATTCAAGGCGCAAATAATAGTCTTTTTCACAAATGATGCTAGAACAACTGGATAGGGACATGTAAAAGAAAGAATCTGGAGCTCTACCTCACACCATATACAAAAATTAACTCTAACTGGGTCAAAGGCATAAAAGTAAGAGCTAAAACTGGAAAACTCTTAGGAAACATAGGGCTATGTATAAGCTTGGGTTAGACAGAGATTTCTTATGTACAATGCCAAAGGCACAATAGATAAAAGAAAAAAATAGATAAATTGGACTTCATGAAAATTAAAAATTTTTGTTGCTTCAAAAGACACCATAATGGAAGTTAAAAGACAACTCACAAAATAGGAGAATATATTTGCAAATATGTTTCCAAACACTTGTAGATATATCACATATTTGATAATGAACTTCAACCCCCCAAAAATAATAAACACAACTCGGTAATAAGACAAATAACCCAAGAAAAAATAGGCAAAATGTATGAAAAGACATGGGGTGCCTGGGTGGCACAGTTGGTGAAGCATCTGACTTCTGCTCTGGTCATGAGCTTGCAATTTGTGAGTTTAAGCCCTACACTGGGCTCTCTGCTGTCAGTGCAGAGCCTGTTTTGGATCCTCTGTCCCCCTCTTTCTCTGCCCCTCCTCCACATGCGTGCTCTCTCCCTCTCTCTCTCTCTCTCTCTCTCTCTCTCTCTCTCTCTCTCTCTCTCAAAAATAAATAAAAACATTTAAAATATATTTGCAAAGACAATTTACCAAAGAAGATATATGAATGACCAATAAGCAAAAAATCAAAATCACTACTCATTGGAAAATGAAAATCCAAACTACAATGAGAATCACTTCACACCCACCAGAATTACTATAATCAAAGAGACAGACAATAAGAAGCTTTGGAGAGGGTGTAGAAAAATTGGACTTCTCGTAAATCACTGGCAGAAAGTAAAATTGTGCATTCACTTTACAAAGCAGTTGAGTAATTCCTCATAAAGTTAAACATAGAATTACCACATAAACCAGCAATTCCGTGCATAGGTATATACTCAAGAGGCCAAAAACACCTGTTCACACAAAAACCTGTACACATCTTCATAGCAGCATTATTTACACTAGCTAAAAACTGAAAGCAATCCGAATGTTCATCAACTGGTGAATGGATCAACAAAATGTGGTATTGTCCATATGATGGAATATTATTTGGCAATAAAAAAGGAATGGAATACTGATACATGCTATAACATAGATGAACTTCAAAAACGTTATGCTATAGCCAGATGCAAAAGACCACATACAGTATGATACCAGACAAGGCAAACCTATAGAAACAAAGTTTATCAGTGATTGCCTAGCCTGGGGTAGGAGTGGGAAGTGCCTGCAAGTGGGCACAAGGTTCTTTTTAAAGTGATGGAATTTTCTAGAATTCCAATGTGATTAATACTTGCACAACTCTAAATTTTCTAAAAAATAATTGAGTTGTATCCTTAAGATAAGTGAATTTTATGACATGTAAATAACACTTCACTAAAGCCATTAAAAATAGCTATAAACCTGAATAAACAATGCACTTTTATGTGTAATTCTGGCTTTTAAATATCTATGACTACAGGACTTTCCTAAGATAGGACAGCCCTAATTCTCGAAACAATGTGGCTGAGACTCCCAAATCTTGAAAACCAACCCTAAATTAATGTTATGGTTCTATGAATACATAGATCATATGCATTAGTTCCTGGCACCTAGTAGGCCTCAAGAAATGTTTACTGGATGAACAATTAAACCATCTTCATGAAAAATACAAAGAAATGGAAAAACATTCCATACCCATGGATTGGAAGAATAAATATTGTTAAAACGTCAATACTACACAAAGCAATCTACACATTCAACACAATCCCAATCAAAATTGTACCAGCATTCTTCTCGAAGCTAGAACAAGCAATCCTAAAATTTGTATGGAATCACAAAAGACCACGGATAGCCAAAGTAATATTGAAGAAGAAAACCAAAGCAGGAGACATCACAATCCCAGACTTTAGCCTCTACTACAAAACTGTAATCATCAAGACAGTATGGTATTGGCACAGAAACAGATACACAGACCAATGGAATAGAATAAAGACTCCAGAATTGGACCCACAAAAGTATGGCCAACTAATCTTTGACAAAGCAGGGAAGAATATCCAATGGAGAAAAGACAGTCTCTTTAACAAATAGTGCTGGGAGAACTGGACAGCAACATGCAGAAGAATGAAACTAGACTGCTTTCTTACACCATTCACAAAAACAAACTCAAAATGGATAAAGGACCTGAATGTGAGACAGGAAATCATCAAAACCCTAGAGGAGAAAGCAGGAAAAAACTTGTCTGACCTCAGCGGCAGCAATTTCTTACTTGACACATCTCCAAAGGCAAGTGGA